GTAGTACCGAGTCTGAGGTTGAGAGGAGGAGAGCAGGGGAGGGAGAGAACGAAGCAAGAAGTATCGCTTGCTGCCAACAGTGGGTAGCTTCGGCCACACATGCCAAGGAACCCATTGGCCACTTCTTTTAAGCAAGTGTAAAAGGTGGGTGCGTAGTTGGAGGGCGTAAATGGTGTGTGTGGGCAGATGGGTATGCTCGGTGTATGTGTGAGCGCTAGACAGCTGCGCTGGCGAGGTTTGGGTTGGATGTGGTAGGGGTAGTGAATCAAGGGTATGGTGGGGGTGTATGTAGTATGGGTTTGTGCCGACCATTATGCATTTCGTCAGGAGGCTGGTTAGGGGGGGGGGGGGGTTGGTTTGGTTTTTCGTGATATGGGGGGATGGTTGTGCTTGTAGCGATGGAGGGCGTGCCTTTCTCTGCGTGCATTCTTTACAGGTTTTGTCTTCTTGGCAGGTTCACAAGGTGCTGTTTGTTCGTTTGTTCGATCGTGGGCAAAGTGTATCGTGTCCGTTTGGGTTTGCAGGGGTTTTGTTTTTTGTAGTGTCTGAGTTGCGTTGAGTCGTCACGTTTTCGTGGGAATTGTCTGTTTGTGTTTTTTGTCCTGCAGTGGAAGGAAAGCCGTGTATTTTTATTCCTTAATTTTGTGGATCATATGTGAGGCGTTGCTCTGACGTTTCTGTCTTCGTGGATGGAGTTAGAGAGTGTTGTTATCGGCATATATATTTTTGTTTTTTTTAGTTTCTGTCATTTTTCTCTGTCTGCGCGGGGTAGGATTTTGATTTTTTGGTTCTTGATTTTGTAGGTCGTATTGCTCATGTGCGGGGGGGCTTTCTTCCATTGGGGGTGTGAGTCTGGGGATGGTGGGTAGGAAGAAGGTTTTTGTTTATTCTTTGCTTGCTTTTTTCATGGGATTCCGTGCAGAGAGGGGGCACGGGTTCGACGTTTGGAGCATCTCATCATGCATGCCCTTTGTGGTACTGTGTTGCATCTGGCCGTTGCGGTGGAGTGCAGAGGGTTGTATTAGGGGTGTTGGTTTGGCTTGTTTGAGGTGATTATGTGTGGGTGGTGGTGTTAATTTTTTATTTTTCTTGATTGTGAGGGTCTGTGTATGTGTGTGTGTGTGTGTGTGTGTGTGCGTGTGTGTGTGTGTGTGTGTTTATGTGTGTGTATTTGTGTGATTGTGTTTGTCTGTTAGTGTGTCCATGTGTGTGTTTCTCTGTGTATGCGCCCCCGTGTGTCTGTTTGTATGTGCGTTTGTCGGTCTGTATGTCTGTGTGTTTGTGTGTGTGTCTGTCTGTTTGTATGTTTGTCTGTCTGTCTGTCTGTCTGTGTGTGCCTGTCTTTGTGGTTGTTTGTCTGTCTATGTGTCTGTCTGTGTGGTTGTCTTTCTGACTATGTGTCTGTCTATCTATGTGTTTGTCTGTCTATGTGAGTGTCTGTGTGTTTGTTTGTGTGCGTCTGTCTGTCTGTGTGTCTGTCTATTTGTGTGTGTGTGTGTCTGTGTATGTGTGTGTGTGTGTGTGTCTGTGTGTATGTGTTTCTCTGTGTGTGTCTGTCTGTGTGTGTGTCTCTGTGTGTGTGTCTGTGTGTGCATCCGTCTCTGTGCGTCTGTGTGTGTGTGTGTGTCTGTGTGTGTGTGTGTTTGTCTGTCTATATGTCTGTGTGTCTGTGTGTTTGTCTGTGTCCGTGCGTCTGTGTGTTAGTGTGAGTGTTTGTGTGTTTGTGTGTGTGTTTGTGTGTGTGTGTTTGTGTGTGTTTATGTGCGTGTGTTTGTGTGTGTGCCCCTGTGTGTATGTGTGTGTGTGTGTGTGTGTGTGTGTGTGTGTGTGTGTGTGTGTGTGTCTCGTGTGTGTTTGTGTGTGTGTGTCTGTGTGTGACACTGTGTGTGTGTGTGTGTGTATGTTGTCATATTCGCTATACACTCAAAAAAGCATGATTGTGCCAGACTGTTTCGTCGGACTTTCACCGACTTATCAGGAGGCTGAAACCCCACACTCTGCCCAGGATGCATCGGACTGATGGATGTGTGTGTGTGTGTGTGTATGTGTGTGTGTATGTGTGTGTGTGTGTGTGTGTGTGTGTGTCTCATGTCTGCGTGTGTGTGTGTGTCTCATGTCTGCGTGTGTGTGTGTGTGTGTGTGTGTGTGTGGAGTGTGTGTGTGTGTGTATATTATCATATTCGCTATACACTAAAAATGCATGATTGTGCCATACTATTTCGTCGGACTTTTACCAGACTATATAAGTTGAAGATCTGACATGAAAGGAATAGGAGTATGAAGCTCTGAAGAGAAATGCACAACAACATACCTTCCCCAAGAACAACGGAAGGGGTACCCCCAAGAACAACCAAAAAAACTGTCTAATTGTGAATTTGCTTTAACATGTTGGACATCTCAGATGCTCTCGTTGTCTGCAATAGGACAAAGACTACTTTTGATTCTAAATTTGTTCATCTGGGTGAAACTAGGGTTGTTGTGGGGAAAAATTGGAAAATCTATAACACACACACACACACACACACACACACACACACACACACACACACACACACACAGACGGGGGAGAGAGCAAGGGAGGGGGGGGGGGGGGGGGGACCAAACCCCCCCCCCCCCCCCCCCCCCCCCCCCCCCCCCCAAAAAAAAAAAAAAAAGACCTTCGCGTTCACCAGATTTCATTGCCCGAACACGTTCGCATTCACGAGCGAATGTGAATGCTGTGCAACGTAGGTCTGAACTTCTTCCTTGAGATCTTGCAGTAGTATTCCTTTATCTGTTCACTTTCCATCTTCTTACCCATCTCTTGGTAGCTTCTATTGTATTCTTCATAAATAAAGGAAATATGTTCTTCTTTCTTCTCAACCTCTTCTCCATCCTTAATCCAGAACTTTCCCCCAGTTCATGGACAGCTACACTGTTGCGCTGACTCATGTGTACAAGTCGTTTTGTTCTTCCTTTTCTTCTTTCTGAAGAATTGATTCGTAAATATAAGCCTCAAGGATTTCTCCTCAACTGTCTCTTTTTTTAGGCCATAAACTCCACTTATACGAACTTGGAGCCTTGTAATATTTGTCGTCCTCTTCATATAAGAAGCTATCAACATAAACAGATTATTCAATCGTCCCATCAACGTCTTCATCTTCGTCTTTTCTCCATTCAGTTCTCTGTTTGATTTTTCTCAGTGGGAATCTTTTTCAATTTAAAATCAAAAGTCCATGTGAAGGCAATCCACCTGCTTACTGACGGATCTACTTGTTGGCACTTTTTAATAGCACCAATCACAGCAGATGCATCAGTCATCAGGATGAACCTCGTCTCAAGTACATAGTGTCTGAAGCACCTGAGGCAGTGGATAGTTGTTAGTAGCTCTTTTCTGAATTGGGTGTAGCCTCTTTCTGTAGAGTTAGGGGCATTTTTTTCCCATTCTCATCTTTCTCAATAAGTACACTACCAAGAGCTACTGATCCTCCATCAACCTCGATGGCGAAGGATTTTCCCTCTTCATCATCACAGTAAGGCACTCCCAGCACCACACCTCCATCTTTTAATTTGTCTTGTAAAGTTTCTGCAGCAATCTGTCTTTTCCCTGTCCATGATAAGTCAGCCCCTTGCTTTACCATCTCCCTTAGAGGTTCTGCAAGGGTAGCAAAATGAGGAATAAAAATCCTCCATAATCAACAGACACCCAAGAAGCTTCTGACATCTGTCACTTGCTTCAGAAGTAGAGGCCACTTCAGGATCTTGTCTATTTTCTTGAGGTCGGGATTCCTACCATTGGAGAAACATCTAAAGCCTAAGATTATACTTCTGAAGTCTTTCTAGGACCAACTTTACCCCTTCAACATGTTCCCTGACCAACTTCCTGACTTCATTAGCAAAAACCAAAATCTCGTCTCTTACTATGGGTCCTTTCATAGGGTTATCATCAATATAGGGGTTGATTATCTCAGGGGAAATATCCTACATGACTCGAATCATATCCCTTTGAACCACTACCACACCATTGGTCCAACCCTGAGGCATCACACACATCTCAGTGACATCTGAATAAGCCTCCTTGGCGTGTGCATCACAGTCATTGGTCACCTAGTGGGATCAATGAGAAACTGATCGTAATCAAAATACAAATCAATTAGAGAATAAATGCATCGACCAACAAAAAATTCAAAAAGGAAATCAGCATTAGGGAGACTACCGGCATCACACTCACTCACGCAGTTGAGCTTCTGAAGATTTTGTATCCATCTCAAACCACCTTCTAGTTTCCAAAAGCAAAACTAGTGATTAGCATACGGATCATCTGCAGGTTCAACAACATTAGAAACAATTTTTTTATGTAGGTATTTCATCACCTCTGCCTCTTCTTTCTAGGCGTACCTGGTTGGTTTATCATTCCATGAGATATTGTCAACTATCCAAATTTTTGCCATTTTAATCATATCCACATCCAATCGCCCTCTTTCTTCGTCATTAAAGGATAATGCACCATAGAAAATTTTTAACACACTTTGAAGATATATTCATTTTTTTTAGGCCATATGAACTGATCCGAGCCTATCTTCATTGCATCAAATATTTCCCTAGTGACTCTATTCCCCAATTTCAGTGACTCCAATAATTCTCCTTTCGTTTTTCAATGCTTCATCATAATCCTTTTTTATCAAAACGGTTATCGGGTTCTTTTTCACCCCCTTGGACTTGTACTTTCTCTTTAACCCAGTCGCCGTTTTTCTAAAAAAGGATGAGTTGATGCAAACTGTAATTCCATTTTCTCACTCTTTGCAGTTTCAACATCCTTCTTGAATGTCAATCTGTTCATCTTCTCCTTTGAGTTTGCCAAAAGTTTTCATCATCTTTGAAAGCTGATTAATGTCTACTGAGACTTTTTTTTTAATCTCTTGCTTATCTTTCCTTTTTATTTTCCCAGTCTTCTCAACAAAATTTTCCCTTCTGATTGAATTGACTGATACCTTATGTTTATGATGGTGGGAGGTACATACCATAAAGGTCTGCTCCTGTGCAGTCTCCGAATCGTGTAGACCGATCCAGGACGACCCTTCATGATTGAAGAACTGGACAACCTTCATTCTGTGCAAGATTGGAGTGCCCAGGATACAGTCATGATCTAAGTCTGACACCACGAACCCTAACAGTTCCACAAACATCATTCCGACCTTAATAAGCAAATTGTCAATAAACCCAGCCAAAAAAAAATCAATATTACTTAATATGCTCTTTGATGGTCTATTAATGGTTAAGTTACATGCCTTCGTGATTCTTTGAGAGAGGACCATTTCCGCCCAGAGTCTACCAAGGCTCGGATCTTCACCTGATTAATATAAATAGCTAAATACCCACAACCGATGGTTACGAATCTCATCTTACATCCTGGTAAGGTCCTGTTGACTTGGCTAGGAAAAATTGATCCCAAGTAATTAACTTTCACCTTTTTCTTTTCAATTAACTTCTTGAGTTCCTCTCTCAACTTTGGTGCTAGTGTCATTACCTCCTTGAAAGATAAAGTCACTTCTGTTTCTTCTAACATTTTTGTGATTCTCTTCTTCCCTTGTTCGTTCTTTCGAGATGACGGGTTCGGTTCTTGATCATCAAGAATAAGTTCTCCTTCTCTTTTTTTCCTCAATCATCTGAGGTGTCAAGTATGCTTGAATATTTTTCACCTCTCCAATCACCATATTGGGCTCCATGACGACTTCTGGTGGTAGATCACCCTCAAAAGACATAATATTAACTGAACAAGTGGATTCATTAAAAAAAAATACTACCAACTCTGAAGAATCATGAGAAGTAGAATTTTCTTTCGGTGGAAGCTCGCTTGGGGGAGCCTTGTTAGAGAAGTCTTCCACTAAAGCCAAGGACTGTAGAGGCAATTCAGTTAAGGAGAAAAAGTCGTTAGGCTTCTGCACAAGCTCTCCAGACAATTCGCCAATAGTCAGGCTTCTGCACAAGCTGTTCAGGCAATTCGCCAATAAGAAAGTGAACATTTACACTATAGTCTTCCGCTTCTTTTTTTCGTCATATTTCCTCATATTTAAGAGCAAGAAGTCTCGTACCTCCTGGATGTTTGGGATCCAGTTCATTCCATGAACTCTTACATACATGACCCATTGCATCCTTCTTGGCTACCCCACTCTTCACATCCTCTTCCCGAGGCTTACAGTAGGTAGTGGTATGACCTCGTTCACCATAATAGTAGCAAACGAAGTTCTTCCTTTGACGGTCATCATACTTCATTCTCTCTCTGTTCCCTTTTCCACCCTTCCCTCCATTCTTTCTTGATATGGAGGAGTCTCCTCTTCTCCCATGATCATCGTCATCGTCGTCATCTTCTTCATCCTCACTTTCAACCTTCTTCTTCCCTTTCTCATCCACAACATGATTGGCAGGCATGTAATTGGCCATAACCCGTTGGACAATATTTTCAGTGCTCAGATTGCTCCCAAAGTTCATACCATTCTCTATCTACCAATCTTTAGCCAACGTACTGATCTGATCCAGTGACCACTTCTTGTGCGAGACAGTAAGTAGAGTTATGACTATTGCAACCATTTCATCCCATCTGAGAGGGTAGTGTTGAGCTTGATTGAGAACAGTTTGTCTCTCATTGTCAATGAAGTTAGTCACGAAGAAATGACATCTCTGGGCCTCTTCTGAATATGAAATTTTTCTGGTTGTTCGGATAAAAGTCTGGAGGAAAACATTAAAGGTATCATACTTTACCCTTTTGATGTTGAGAAGATCCTTGGTAGTGGTTGGAACAAAGTCTTTCTAAAATTCTTTTTTCATTCATTCCTTAACTTATTCCCATGTTGTGGCCCCTTCCATCAACTCTTGGACAAACAACCTCGAGTCAGAGTCACAGTATGATAAAAGGTGCTTAAGTCGCTGTTTGTCCATCCAACCATAGCTGAGTCCAAATAATTCATAATTGTCCAAGAAATCATTTACTTTAGGCCCTCTAAAACATAAATTATTTCTTCTGTTTTTTTGGCCCTTGCAATACTTGACCCTCCTTTTATAGTGTCAACTCTTTCGACCAACTCCCATATTGCACCCACCAAGGTCTCTTCATGAGTCTCTGCAGAGGAGCTAGGCCTTGAACTCCCTCATCCAAGATATCTTGACCATGAACTTTTTCTTAATATTCCCTTTATTTCTCTTCCTGCCACTCTTGCCCTTTTCTTTCCCACTCTCTATCTTTTATTCTTCTTGTACGAGATACAGGTTCGTCCCTCTCCTCTCTTGTTTGTTCTACCCCTTAAGAATTTTGTATGTAGAGAGTATGGGCAATAATAGTCTGAGTAGAGATCAAGGGCAAGGAGATCGTTCTTAATCTCTCAATATAATCCTCAATCAGTTTCCTCTCATCGTCCCCACTCAGTGTTCGGTTATACCCGTTTACAATACCCCAGATCATAAAGTACCTTGTCAGGTCTATAATCTCATAATCAAATTGCATTGCTTATAGATTGTTGTTGATTCTTCTGGCAGGAGAGACTCGCTCTCTGAAGGGAGTGATAGGATACTCTTTCAACGGTCCCCACTCTCACTATCTTCAACAGATAGTTAATCTTGGTCTGATCCGTAACAGCCCTCAAGGCAGAGTCTCATTCGATCAAGGAAGGGTTGCAAAAGCTCAAGCTCATCCATAGTGAAGAGGTTTTTGACTGAGATCCGGAGAGTACCTTCTGTTTTGATTACCCTTCCTTCCAATACAACCCCAAACATTAGCTGTTCAACCGATCCACACATTATTGATCATTATAAATAGTGTCAAGAAAGATAGATCTCAGGCTGAATATAGTCAGGGATCTCAAACCGCTGCTCAAAGGTATTCAGAAGCAAGGACTTTATCACCACAGTAGAGTCACTCTCCTTTGCCTTACCTACCATGGCAATGGCTTCCAGCAGAGGCATCCAATCTCTCCTGTCATAAAAGCCATCAGTAGTAGAGAAGCTAGGGAGCCTCTCAAACTCCCTCACTCCCTTTTCCCAAGTTTCTTTTCTTTGTCGTTTTTCAAGCCACTCTTTTGTTCTTACAAGACTAATGTAAGCCCCTGTCCGACATTCTAAATAATCAACTTCCTTCTCTAAACACGCTGGGGCGTAAATTCTCACGTCCAAGCTGTCAGTATTCATGAACTTGACCACTGGAATATGAAATATTGTGCGGTCTCTTCCACAAGTCTCATATCTCATAATTATGAAGGGATTATTGAACCTAGTCACTACATATAATCTGCCTCTCACGACTAAAATTCTTGCCACTAACAATGTTCTTCTTAAAACCTTTTTGCCTTCCATACAAGATGCACCATTCCCAATTGTTGTTTTCCTTTACTGAGAGTCCTTCTATGCTCATGGCAGTCCCTTCATTTTTCTTTCTTTAGTATTATGTAAATAACTGGTAGCCAACTACATCCATAACAATAGGTGTTAGGAATAGGAGGAATATAAACCGTCTCATGGCTTACTGACATTAGTCCCCACTCCACTTTCTTTCTTTGTTTGCTTAGTTCTGCTTTCTCATCATAGATAGATTGAATAGCAATTTTTCATAGCCAGTTAAAGGTCTCTCCATCATTGCAGCCTCCCTTTTTAACGTAAAGGCGAATATCATAGATATCTCCCTCCAAAAAGCGAGTCAACACTACACAGATGGTCGAACTGCCAGAGTGATAAACCCAACAGTGTTGGTACTAATAGGGAAATATCTCTCTAGAAGTGAGTTTAGACAACTCATTCAATGGATACTTTACTAACATTCCATAATTTAATTCGTTATTTTTCCTCTTCAATCTCCTCAAAAGTGTCAACAGCTCATAAGGCATACCTTTAATCAAGCCTGATCCTCTCCAATAAATGCCAGTCTCCTTCTCCGTCCAGTATGGTACCTCACACATGAAGAGATAGGACTCGGTTAGCAACTGGGATTTCCAAGAGAATAATAACTCGATTAGGATGGGAAAGTCAATCTGAAAATTCAGACATTGTCAACAATTCTTAAACCCTAATCAAAGCTCAAAGCTATTGCTGACCCAAGCTCGTCCTGGACACGAAAATTTTTCATGTCTCCGGCAACAGCGCCATTTTTGTTGCACTTTTTCCTAGTCAGGCCACTTTCAGCGACCGGAAAGCCAATATGCTGTCATGCAGGATTTTATTGATTGCTTGCAATAAATAAGAAAATAAATTAAATAGAGCAAATCGCTTCCTGTTGTGTGCGTTCGGCTTCGAGCGAGACCCTTCAATTGCGGTCTTCACTGCTCCTGGTCTCACGAATCTTTTGTTTTGATTCGGAACAATAAAGATCATGCAAATAATAATCACAAAATTTTGGTGTGTATCAAATTTGCCAATTTACTAATTTTTTAAAATTGTAACAAAATCATCAAAGAACACATTCATCAAGCAGAGTCAAAGCAAGTGAAGCAGGACCGACTGACTCGAGCAATGACAAGGATAAATGAGGGAAGAATGAGAACTTGTAATAATATCAGAAAGTACAGATGAAGAGGCATGACCGACATTCGTCATGAGTCCTCATTCATCCCTCTAGGCCCATTATTCAATCTCTCATTTGACTGTGAGTTTCCTGTGCCTTGAGCCATGTCCACGTACTTCCTGAGATTGTGACCTCTCGATGTAGAGCTACCTTAAAACTGCAAGTTTCGAGCACTTCCCTCCAAGGCCCATGATACGGAAGTCAACCATAGCACAAAACTCGTCCCATAGAGTAGGAAGATATAGCTGAGAGAAGATCCCTCGTCTGAGATGCCGAAACTCGGACGGTTCGGTCACGACCTCATAGTCAATCTCTGTTGGAAAAATGCACCTCTTGGCCAGGTCCACTACGTCACCCCGACAAGAACTATCTCTGAGGATGAAAGGAACTGGAGGCTTGGGGTACTCAGCGTAGAGTTTGGGTCCGAAGCTACGGACCAGCTTGGTACCACTCTCTCATCTAGTTCTCTTTCTTTCTCCTCAAGGTACTCCGCTGTTGAGGCCCAAACTCAGTCACAGAGATCATTAATTTCCTTGCCCTTCTTCAAATAGATCCTCAAGTCATGAATAGTACCCCCTGCAAACTCAGTGTGGACTACAAAGACGGATAATTTTTTTTGCTTAAAGTCTATTGCACTGACATACAGGTGTTGGAAAGCATCTTTAGAGACTATTTGATTGAGCCCATCCAAGACCGTCTGTTGAACCGAAAATGAGGTAACATTGTTCATGTGTCGGGTGAATAGTTGATAGTTGACTGATTGCAAAGTATCACGTACGGGCTGAACTGATCAAGGAATGCCGACTTAGCTGACTCTGGTGGGTGGCTGTCAAAGAGGTCTCCAACATCGAAAGTTAGGGGGCAATGACTGTTGATATGAGAATCACTGAACGTCGACTGTCGAAAATGGTTAGGAGAAGTTAGTGATGTTCAGTGACTGCTTCACTGTTGAACCCACAAAGTAGGAAAGTTCGGATAGATGACCATCACTTTAGCTTTGCCCTGGCTTTCTCGATGGTCTCAAAGAAGGAACCTGTGCTGTGCAGCTTACCGATATGATCACGGATGTAGAATATGTATTTGATGTACCTCTCTTTTTTAATCCCCTGATTTGCACACTCTCTCAGGATCTCTCTGCGCGATTCCATGTCTCGAAAAGTTTCCTCTTCCCATCCTTCGTTCTTGTCTTTACGGATCCCACATTTCATCACAAATATCTTCGAGTCCCTCATGATTCATTTTCTTTCATTCCAAGGCCCCGATTTGATGAGGTACATGAAGAGAAGACAACTGATACCCTAACTAGCACTTGGAACTGCAGTGCGACCTTGTCTCACATGATTCATATAGAGTTATATGATGATCGTCGGCTTATCGGTATCATAGGTATGCTATCTGCACACTGACCTTGCCCAGGAGTCTGGTAAGGAACGTGCACATCACGTTCATTCTATACCCAGATTGGGAAGCTGTCAGATACTGAGATTGCCCAGGCATGAGCTTTGGAACCATCGGCGAAACCCTTTGCTTGATGTGGCATCCAATCCGGATGACAATGATCTCCCTCTAGGCAGTTAATCAGATGTTGTATCGTTTCTCTTGACAGTGCCCTCTGTTCAGAGATGACATTGGGCCCCGGTATGAGTGGGTATGGGGAAAGTAGATGACGCATTTAGCACTCCTTGTTTGTCTCGTGAACTAGGATTACCACTGCTTAGACATGGCTCAAACAAGGGTTTAGCCTTGGACTACGACTTGAGTTAAGCGTGGTAATCAGCAGAACCTCCCAACTATAATCTTTTGTCTGTCTGCATCGATCAAGTGATGGGACACTTACATTACCGCCCTCCCTCGTTGCCCCCGTTTTACACTGGCCAATTCTTGTAGTGACCCCAGGTTTTCAATACAGTCATGGAACACCGTTGCCACAAAACCGGCATCGACCCACTTCCATGTTATGCCTTAAATAATACTGACCCGAATAATCAGTAGAACCAATTATGGGAGGAAACTCAGTTGAGTAGTTCTCTGACTTTCACTCACTGCTTAGTTCTCTTGGGTTAAAAGTCAGGCCAGCCTGGTCTCCGTACGTTCGGCCATGACAAGGGGGTCTAGGCACTGACTCTAGGGAGGTGGTCAATGACTTCTACAGGACTTTGTGGAGACAAGAGGGTATCCATCCTCAACAGGACCCCAGAGTATTTATGGTCAGCCACTGAGCGTTATCCAACAAGCAGTTCCCAGGCGTTGTTTCTCAGCAGCTTGACTGAGATGCTGCTCACACAGATCCTCTAGTAGCTACCCGAGCCAGTCCCTTGGGAATTCAAGGTGCTATATCTGTTCACTTGTCGAGCATCCATGATCGGGATACTCTATGTCCAGAGTGAAAGTTTTAAGCTTATGCAGTCCGACTGTAGCTTGAATTTTAAAAGAAGAAGGTTACATGCGAGGTGTCTCTCTGCCTATTTGCGTGGGCTGGAATCGAGCGCCTAGCTATTAATTCATCGAGTCAAACCTCAACTTAAAGTCAGTCTCGCACAAAGAGTGATCACTCCGATCGTGGGGCACGTTCCGACTCAGTTTGATGGGATGGCGAAAAGAAAGACAAGGTGCTTGTAATCAACGCCGTAGTCTTAAGCACATTTCCACTAGGGCTCGAAGAGATTTGATCTGAGATCAGGGAGCTGACGACTCCATATAGGGATCTTTATCTCCATTAGATTAGATCATGGGCTGATCATGCGAGCTCGTCCCCCGGTGACGGGAGTGCTTGTAGGGCAGTCTCGAAAGAGACCAATGGTATGTCTGCTTCTGTTTTCTGAGCAACGGGGCACTTCTGTGTAACTAGAGCAATTTAGGATTATTCCTTGGGTTTCGTTTGGATCAGTGCATTACATTTGAAGACTGCCCACTCATGGGACAAAACAGAAAACACCCACAGGATCACCCCTAGATTCTGTCCAATCGGGTTCCTCAAGGGTTTTAAAAAAACGCGAGGGTTTAATTAAACGGGTACAAAATATTTTAGACAGCCACCCCCAAGCCTTAAGACCTCTCAACCTCAAGGGTGAAAGTAGGGAATGATAAAGGCTTTCATTTTCACTAGCAGGCCGATGTACATGGTCACACGACAGGAAACGTATCACTACCCTAGGCAGACTAGTCAATCTTCACCAACGTTTGAAACACTAATTACAACTACTAATCCCCATCAAGTAGAAACTTGGCGATCAAGTAAACAATTTTTCTCAACTGTCTTTTCCTTCCCCTGCGGCTCATTACTCATACTCGGCACTCACAGAGGACTGATCCCCATTGCACGTCTAGGGCCAGCCAGAGTGGAGAGTTAAGTTGACAGTCTTGTCCACTGGCTTGAGAGTGCGCTCACAAGTTCACATGTGAGTTCACAGGTTGGTGTGGTAGCACAGGCCCTTGCAAGATCACACTCAGACAAACGCTTATAAATTAACACAGCCACTCGGGTGTTCATATGCTAGTATGGTCGCTCATGCATTCATGCTAGCATCTATAGACCCGTGCGGTCACTTGCATGAATACCTCTGAGCTCGTACAGTCGCACACTCATACGATTGTACGAGTATTTGCAGGCTCGCAAGATCAAAGCAAAACATTCAATCATTCCAATTCGTATTTGTCACGGGTTTTCTTTGTAAGTCCTCAAAAGAGGAAGTTGAGGCTTCAACAACTCTTACAACTTTTGTCCTCTTCATTGCACTTCTGCATACAATATAAACATAGATCTATCACTTGATTCGCACAATTGGAGCAGGGCTTCACACAATTCAATGCCCCATTTGTTAGGCCCGATGCCGCCACCCCTCTCGGTCTATTACCCGCATACTACTGGCAAGGCTTCACCATTTGGATAGCAAGGACACTCAAATGATAGCAACAATTAATCAGGAGACGACAAATAGAAACCTTCTCTTCAACATGTTGATGACATCAGCGCATTGACGCACTCTATTCCTTTTCACAAGTCTGACCATAGTAACACCTTCCTCGTCAACGTCTAAGATGTTACGCCCATACTCACCTCAGTTCAAGATCAAGCTAAGCTTATCTCCTTTACGCGGACAGAGACAAACAACGTCAATTCTTTGCACCAGGTCAAACCACCAACCCTAGCTAAACCATCTTCACCTCAGGCGTCCAACAACAAATCTAACTTCTTAGATCGCTTGCCAATTATCATCGATCCGTATCATTACCGCGCCTAGCGCATCTTGCAAAGGGGAAACATCTCCTCACCACTTAGGGACCTGCATCTCCGTTAACTCTCGTCCCACCTCGTTGACTCGTATCTTGTACGGAACCAGACTGCATATCATAAAGCGGGGATATAACGGAGATAGCCTAGTTGGAGGGGGTACTAGCTATCACTCCAGTTGCACAGCAGCACGGACTGGCTTTGTGTGCCCATCACTCACTTGCTCGCAACATCTCAAGGGTGGACAATTTGACACTCTTTTGTGGCTCAGGCACTCGTGAGGGGAATGACGTCAGTCGACTCGTTCTCGCATAGGTTTCACAGATTTCTTGTGCAAGTCTCACTCCCCTTTCACTGGCACTCTTTACATTGCCCAACTCAGCTCTGCCAGACTAGAAGCAGCCGCCTTGCAGCAAGCGATGAGACCGTCTACGCTAAACTCATGACGTCAACAAGGGACACAAGCGTGCCCTTGAGGGCACTATGCAGACGCGTCTCACGCAACGCACTGGCCAACTTTTGCCCCTGACCTCCGGTCCGAAATCACTGGCCCGGTCATAGAAGTCTAGGACTTCGCCTCCGGACGAGTCGCCATTAATCACAAAATAATGATGACGGCAACAAACAAGGCGGCAACGCCTGCCGTCACTCACCCCTTCTGAGCACATGTATTTCTTTGACCTCTCTCTATTCGCACTCTCTCTATATAACCTTATTTCTCCAGCACCTCCTTCTCACCAGTCCCTCCTTCCTCCGTGCATGCCAACTAGTATGCTAGCATGCTGATTCCAGATACGTTGTTTCCGAGTGCATGAGCAGCCCTTCCCCTCGTCTGCTCACTTGAGACGTCTGCTCGCTCTAAGAGTCTCTGCGCAAAGGCTAACCAGATCAATGCTCGAGAGTTCGTTTTCACCATGACACAGGCAAGACTCGCGATCACCACAATCACCCGCCACGTCCTCTGTCCAGTCTCGTCCTCTTGTCTCTCTCCCTCTCTCTCCGCTCCGTGCCCCTTGATTGTAACTGCCTAGTCTCGTCGTCGTGGGTTACCTTCTGTGTTGCTGCCTAGCGGTCCTGCTCCTTCCGTCGTCGCGAGTTGGCCTCTGGGCCACTCTCCACAGGCTCAGCCGGCGGGTGATCTCTCCGCCACTAGTCCAACCCGTGCCACGACAAGGTCTCCGCCGCGCTGACCTCGCTCTCTCCCCCCGGGTCCCTATCTAGGTGAGCCTGTTCTCGTTCCGCGGTATCTGTGGAGGTCTCAACCTCATGGTAGGAGATTGTCACCTGGACCTCAGTTGTGACGCCGTCCCTCTGCACCTCCGCTTGGCTTTGTCCTTTACCTCAGTCATGACCGCCTACAACTTCTGATCTGCTCTTATCTCTGCCTCCCTAGCTCCCTCCGCATTGATCTTCAACTTTGCCTCTTCTCCCCCATCGTAGTTGAGAACGGTGGTGATCCAGGGACCCTCCCCTACCATCGGCCTCCGACGCGTTAGGAGGTTCCAACAGTCCGGGCTATAGCCATGTAGAGCCATGGCCGCACACTTTCAGAATAGCCGAAGTTCGACGTCCGGTACCCCCGCACAAAGACAGCCTACCACCTCCTCACTTCGCTGCCCTGCACTTCCTCCTCAAACTACCCGCATTGGCACAACGACGTAGCCTGCGTACGGCTCATGGCCTGCTACGAGTAACGTAGCAGTCCCCATTTTTATAGGATTACTATGGGCCGCAGTCCCTGCGTTCTAGAGGAGGTGTTTAGTACTACTTTGGGACTTCACGGTTAAAATCGCCCGCCCTAACTTAGCAATTTAATCAGTAATAATAGTATTAAAAAAAAAAAAAAAGGGCAAGCCAATTATGACCCAACGATCCCTGGAGCGGCGTCCGCACGCAGCCTTTTCAGTTTAACCTGAGAGACTGGGATCGGCGCGCAGTAGTCCCATAACGGGATACCGACGACGCCTCCTTCCCTTCAAAGCAGGCCACCAGACTTTCCCTGATGGGTACCCGTGTCCAATGGCAAGGAGGTGGCTTATGACCTTCCACGGGAGGTGATAAGCTTCCTACCAAAGCGGTCGCGAGCTGCCCCTCTTTTGGGGTCCTACGCGACAGCCACCAGGCTGTCGCACCTGCAGTAGATCGAGACGTAAAGGGCCAGCCAGTCTAGGCCACCCGCCCTTGAACATAATTTCAAAAACTGGACCGTTTGCCCTCCCCGCGACGTGACTGGCGGAGAACTTGAAGTCCGTAAGGGCTAAGAGGAAAGGGAAGTTAATAAAAGAAGGGAAAAGAAGAAGGAAAAAGAGAGGAAGACCCTAGCACCACTACAACTATGGAACCGTCCAATTTGACACTCGAACGTAGCAGTCCGGATTCGCGCGCAGGCGTGAAACACAAAACTCTCTCGTTTCCATCTCCCCGCGCGTGACGCTCCCGCTGGGCCCAAAGAAATTCGGGCAGGGAGGTCCGGGCGCGGTGCTGCAGGAGACCTAGGAGGGCGCGACGGTTGGGGAGGCCGGTAGCCGGGACGGGCTCGCTCGTGACGGGTATCGGTTCAGCGCTCCTAGGAGAGCACGACGGTTGGGGAGGTCGGTAGCCGGGACGGGCGCGGTCGTGACGGATATCGGCTTAGCGCTCCGAGTCGTATTCTTTTTGAGTCCCCGCCCGCGAGCTCAAAATATGGCCGCCTATTTTTCCCATGATCTAGCAGGAGATTCATTCTCATTTTGCACATCTGGTGAGGGCCTCGCCGCACCACTATCCACCCTCCGATTTTTGCACTGCTTGCAGGGGCATCGTTTCGTTTTTTTTTGGGGTCATTTCTTGCCCCCCGCACCGTTTTCATTTAGTTCTCGCAGCCTTCCCCTCCCGCACTTCGATCGCATCACCCGTCTCCCTCGTGTGATCTCCATCGCAGCCTCCCCGACATTCAAACACAAGTGCACAGGCACGTCGTCGCCATCCTCACATTCGAATACGTCCCTCGTGAACGAGAAACGAGAATGAATCTTTCTCTGGATCATGGGAAGATGCACTGCCATATCAACCAGGCCACAGAACATAGCTCTGCCTGTCAGGTGTGGCCTGGCTGTGGCAAGGAACAAATTGTCCCTCATGTTGCAATGAGTTTTTTCCAGTCTCCCTCGTGGTCTCCGCCGCGTCTGCGGCGGGCATCCACTTGTTCTCTTTTATTTTATTTTTTCCCCCCTTCTTCTTCACGAGTTTCTGCAGCCCCTGTACCTATCCCATAACCCAGCCAGAGGGCACTTGGCGCGCAGTTGAAAGGACTGCGCCGGTCCCTCTACCTTCACGTCCCTGGGCGGGCCCGGCGGCTACCACGGCCACAGGCCGGTTGTGCTCTGTTGTACCGCAGGGCGCCGAGCCTACGTGGACCAATGGAAAGCCCAGTGGCGCGCCCATCCTTTTGTCGGTGGTAGCGTTGACTGGACTGGTCCCACAGCAAAGTGCAGCCCAGGCAGACCCGAGATACTGCGAGAACTCACGAGCAAGCACAGCACACAGCGGGGTTTAGGGAGCAGGTCTTCAGCGTGCAACGAAGATGCGTGAGCAGGCGTTTAGCACGCAGCGGAGGGCCGGGACGCCGCCCCCTCCGACAGCGTGCCCGCCCTAAGTGAAGGCGGCCCCCCTGAATCTCAATGCGCCCTGAACTCGACAATTTTTGCAAATCTTGGTCGGCGCCAGACAGTTGCTTCTGAGAATCCAAAATATGTGTGAGCCTTCCAGGCTCTTCCAGCAACGTGGTCGAAGCAGGGAGCATCTCACGTTTGTGCCTGGGTGGTTGGGCATGCCTAACCAATTCGGTCCCAGGCCACTGTCTGAATCGGGCCTGGGCGCACACACTTTGGCTGAGACTGAAGCTACTGGGAACTTGGTCTCACATGGGCGTAGCAAAGGCAAAGGCAAGTGCCCGCCTCTTTCCATATAGGAAAGGGCAGGGTGCAGGGTGAAGTGGTCGGGCACTTGCAAGCACATGCGGCAGCAGTGCTGGAGCTAGCGGTCGCGGGTCTGCTGCTGCGCTAGAGTGCAGGCAAGTGTGCGTGCACGCGTGCGAGAAGGCAGGGCACTGCTGAGGGCAGCGCCATAGCCAGCCCCACGTAGCCAGGGCTCAGCTTGGACAGAGCCAGTGGAGGTGGTGGTGGTCTAGTGTATTAGAAGGGTGATGAAGATGAGGGTGAGAAAGAGAGAGAGATGAGGTTGATGATGTGAGGGCATGTACCTGGTCTTGGCGATAGTCTAAAAGGTTGACATCTTCATGCACTTCAGTTGCTGCTGATGTCAACGGGATGCATTGTCAATTCGTAGGCTGCTAGCAGCTGTGTAGAAGTAGTCCGGGCGCTAAGCGACAAGTAGGAGGGAGGACTTTGGATACATATGTTGGTGGTGGCGAGATTATGCACTCATTGGCATTCGGATTCGGTGCCTTGGTTCTCCGTTGGTGGAATATTAGCGCATTTTCTGCTTTCTGGACAGTGTTGGACTTTCTGGCTTTGAATGTGAAATTGCATTCTGGAATTCTTTTTTTTTTTTTTTTTTTTTTTTTGGTTGAAACAGGTCCTTATGGTCCTGACTCCATATCCATCCTGGGAGTGTCAGTCCGGTTCCTTCCCACCGGCAAGTCTCTCGCGCTTCCTTCTGTCTGGCTGAAGGAACCCTGACCAGCATTGATTGCTCCAGAGCCAGAGGATTGACTGTCAGCTTGCCCTACCACTTTTCCTCTCAGAATCTACTGTGACTCTGTCAGATGATTTGTGTAAAGCAAGAAAAGAGAAGAGTCGTCTATATTGTTGAGATTGTAATCTCAGTTTGCCCATCACTGGGTCATCGTCCTTGTTGAAGTTGCGCTGTCCCATTTTTTCCAAATCAACCTGTTATCTGCCACAGTTGCGATCTTTCCCTGTAGAAGCCAGTTTCTCACGAAAGACCGTCTCTTGACGGCTAGCCTTTCTGGTCTGACTTTCATTGCTGACGTCACCTCCCTCCACTTGGATCGAATCTCAGTTTCCGCCATTCCCAGCAGTGGAATCCACATGTCCTCCCTTGCCACCTCAGTGCCCTCGATAGCAGAGGTCGCAAAACTATTTTTTTT